TGCGTTACTTTACTAGTTACTTGAAAAAAGTAATCTGATTACGTAACTCGCGTTACTTGTAATGCGCTACCCCCAAACACTGCCCTTGAGTATATAAATAAAACGCTGATTTAAAAGAATATACAGGTGCATCTCAATAAATTAGAATGTCATGGAAAAGTTCATTTATTTCAGTAATTCAACTCAAACTCCATGACATTCTAATTTATTGAGATGCACCTGTAAGTAGGACACTGACTTCACAATAAAGATGCCCAAATGCCCCTGCGCGCCCTCGCGTTTCTCGCCGCGCGTTCCCGCAGCCCCATTGACGTCACGCGCGAACCCCTCCCCTGCCCCCGGCGGCGCGCTTTAGCACGGTCCCGCGCCTCTCTTCAGATCAGCAGAATCTTCTGTTCAGCTCGAGACGGACAAGATGGCGAAGTGAGTGGGTTGCGCTTTGAAAAGAAAGCAGCGACTCACATAATTTCTTCAACGTTAAAACGTCGGTTGCCTTGATGTACGTTCGAATAAGCTGGAAAGCGCGTCTTTAAGAAGAAAAATCGCCCCTCAGAGCGAGGTGATTCGAAGAGAGCGTCGAGGACATCGACTCCTCCGTGTCCTTTCAGGCTAAGCTGCTAGTCAGCTATTCGGGGAATTGCTGAAGAGAGAAAAAAAAACAGCCACAACCTCAGGGGAAATAGTCTTGTTTTTTACTTAAATGTCGAACTACTAATCTCCGATTGAAACCAATGGCCGTTATCATCTCAATTTCGCCGTTGTGAGTTGTTAAGGACACAGCTAGTGAGGAAAAGCCGATTTTAGGCTAGCTAGCATTGTTCCTACTGGACTGAAGAAGAGAGAGGGCAGCCTGAAAACCTCACCCGTTCACACCGTTTCAGAGTACTTCTCGGATTTTAGGACATGGCCAGCAGCAGTGGCTCTAAAGCCGAGTTCATAGTCGGTGGGAAATACAAGCTCGTTCGTAAAATCGGATCTGGATCCTTTGGTGACATTTATTTGGCAATCAACATCACAAATGGAGAGGTAAAGATGAAATGGGTGTTTAATGAATGTGCTGAATAACTGGGATAAGAAGATTGAGGGCTTTATACATATGTCCAGCTCATCACATCAGATTACCAGGACACAATTCATATGGGCATTGAAAAATAGTTCTTACAACCTTGAAAGTTTACTGTATTGTAATACTTGTATGACCTAAATGTATTACTATTGGGGGCGATACGTCAACGATGTTATTGCAGATTTGAATAGAAGTAGATGGTTTCCACAGATCAAGGTATAAAGGATCGTTTACCATCAAACATCAAACCAATATTCAGTGCTTTGTAAACCATCTATATGTAGCAGATAAGTAATGATCTTAATTTTGAATATTTCAGGAGGTAGCTGTGAAATTGGAATCACAGAAAGCTAGACACCCTCAACTTCTGTATGAAAGCAAGTTGTACAAAATTCTCCAGGGAGGAGTCGGAATCCCACACATCAGGTGAGCACAGACGTCTGATTATAAGTGACATTATAATGGATTTTGATTGGGGGTAAGTTAACTGGACTAGTTTGATCTTATATTTATATATAGTTTTACACTTATTATGATAGTGTCGACAGGCTAACTAGCCCGTTCATTAGCGCTAGCGTTTCTATGAGTCGCGTGAAAGAACGGCGTTTTTAAATGACTTTAAAAACGTTACGTGATCTCTCTAATGTAGTATAAGATAGTGTAATGAATGAGATTTGACCACGAAGTGTGCGTTTATCCGTTGCTGAGTAAGGAGCGAGTGGGAAATGGCCGCTGCTCTTTTGTTGTGGTTGTTCAACATGTCCTCCCTCTCGATCAGAAAATGGCGGATGAGGGAAAACAAGTTTCAGGGCCTAGTGGGACTGCTGCTTTCTTCTCAAGGTGACTTAGCCATACGAGGGCTGCTATTATTGTCAAAAAATCTTTAAAGAGTCGTTTTTTAGTACGTTACTATAAAGGCGTTAACTATTGATAAGGAAGCTTTCAATAACTGATTCTAGATGCACATTTGAATAAAACGTAGTCCCTGTCTTGGTTTCACACGGAAAAGTTAGAGGTTGTCACTTATGTTTTCTGTTTTGCATGTTATGATTGAATGTAAATAACGTCATACGTTTTACATTCTGATTGCTGAAGTGCTCTACATGTTAAAGTATTTGTGGTTGAATTAGTGTGAAGATTTATCTTTGCTTTTTCCTTGTGTAGTTATGTGTGTGTGTGTGTGTGTGTGTGTGTGTGTGTGTGTATATGTATTAATTAAAGGGGTCATATGATGGAATTTCAAATTTTCCTTTCTCTTTGGAGTGTTACAAGCTGTTCGTGCATAGATAAGATCCCTAAAGTTGCTAAGACAAAAGTCTCAAACCCAAAGAGATATTCTTTATAAAAGTTAAGACTTGTCCACGCCCTCCTAAAACGCCTTGTTTAAACACGCCCCCACATGTCTACGGAACTGTGTGGGAAGATTTGCATAACACCGCCCAAATGTTCACGCAAAGAAAGAAGGCGTTACTTTGATTCTCGCTGTAGTATTGTTGTTGCCGCCGCCATGTCGTGAAGATGCTGTGCGTTTCGTTGTGAAAGCGAAACTACTTTGTTTGGGAATTTGCCACTGACGATTCAAACTTGAGTTTTGAGCAGTGTAGGGTAGCGCTTGTAGTTTTTAGTTTCTTCGATCACAAATGCAGACATGGTTTTATGTTTACGCAGTGCAATATTCAACACAACGCGTAAAAAGACAGTACAAGTCATTATAATCAGTAATCATATCCCCACTGGATGCAACAAATGCCTTGTTTGTAATGGGTTTTATTGTTGTTGTCTCATCACGCCGGTACATGGCATCACAGTATGGTAAGGGGCGTAACATTTCCGTCACACGCTTG